CGGTGCAGTGGGTTTACCACTTGCCCACTTGCCTCTGGTCTGCTGTGGGCAATCTTCAAAAGGCCACTCCCGGACCTTCCGGAAGGCTGTGGACTTGGCCTTTCGAAACTGTAGCAGTTACGACTTTGACCTTTCAAGAATGTAGCAGCTACGACCTTGACCCTTCAGGACTCCTACAGCTACGACCTCTACTATAAACTTTGACCCCTACGCGACAGATCTACGGTTCAAGACCCGACGCAGGTCTATGACAGACTACTACTGGCTCCTAAAACACAGGTTACGGGTTCAAACACACACACGGGTACTGTCGACAGGTAGTGAGGTATAGGGATCGAGCCCTGAGATCTACATCCGCTACTGCAAAAGGGTGAAAAGTTGAAAACCGTTTCAACAAACACGAAAACAGAAGTACAGAAATTACCCCCAATCAAACATAAAAAAAGGTTATAGGCAAAGGTAGATGGAATAAAGGAGACCAATGAAGACGATAAAACGCTAGAGACGACCAGAACATCTGCTCTTGCAAGCAGAAAACTAACAAAAGTACGGACGAGGAGGGGGTGTTGGCTTACCTTTTCGAGAAGTGTGGGGGGGGGCGGGGAAGGTCGTCCAAAAGGCTACAAACATCAAATATGAAATGCATACCCCTCCCCAACACCCCCCAACCCATTTATAAGGAATGGTGTGTGTGTGTGTGTGTGTGTGTGTTTAATGCTAGGCTAAACCCCTGCAACAGTAGTCACGGCGAATTGGGTGGAAAAACGTGACAAGATAACATGCCAAAAAAATAAACCATCCACTTCATTTTTTATTATTATTATTTTTTTAACAGAGAAAATATTTCTGTAATTACAAATCATCCACTTCATATGATACGACCAAAACGAAGTTTCATCCCAAACAAACAAAGGCTCAAAATCCCTAGCGGTGAGGCAAATAGACTACAACCCGGGGACACTAAGCTGGAAGGCAACAGAAGAACAGGCAAGAGGCAACAAGCCATGCAACAATGTAAATTTAGCGAAGCAAGGCAGCAAGCAACTAGCCACCCAGGTAAGCAGCAAAGGAAGACAAGGAGGCAGGGAGAAGAAAGCAACACATAAAAAGGTAGTGCATCAACAGACAGTGAGGCAATAGATGAAGAGGCAATGAATGACAAGCAGCAAGAGGCATCTAGGCTGGAGTGTACGACAGAGGCGAGCGGGCATAGAAAAAAAGCATTAACAGAATAAGACAGTGAGCTAAAAGAAACAAGTAGTAATCACAAAAGACATAGGCTGGAGGGCAAGGAGGTGGCAGGTGGACAGGTAGACAACACAAGGCAGCAAAAGAAATGACAGTTGGCCAGAAGACGAAGACTGGAAAAATTAAAAGCCAGTGATGAAAGATTATTTTTGGTGGAGTTGCAATGACTCATCAAGATGTTGAACCCTCCGTGATCTGCGGAATCTTTGTATTGATGGTTTGGGCCATGAACCCTTTGACCCTTGTTGAAGGCAGACTGTCCCCAAGCGGAACATAGCAGTGGGCAGCAACTTCGCGAAGCACTTAACCAGTTGTTGCTGATGCAACACGACTGCACAACGCCAAGAACAATTGTGAGGAACAACAATGCAAGTGGACACACGATAACTGCGCAGTGAAGCATATGGCAACACCAACAAGGCAATCAAACTACACGCCACACAAGCAGAAGAAGTTGAAGACACAACATGCGGATGGGCGGCAAGTCAGAAGACCAGCAAGGCACAAGACAACACCCGCACCACAAACACACCACACTGTGAACACAACAGCTTGCAAATAACGGTATGTGAAGCAAGTGGGACGGGCAACACGGCAGTGGCAGAGCATAAATGAGGTAGTCTACGCACCCAGCACGAAGCAAAGTGGCACATCACCTACTCACATCACGAGTGAACCCCGTAGACTCTTGGGTCCCACCAGCCATTGAGGCATGAAGTCACTCAAACAAACATTTGTCATCACCCACAGGAAACACACACATCACGAGCTAAGCCCCCCCCCTTATGCGTGCTGCAGGCACTCCAAATGAGGGTTAACAGACTATTTGGCACTGCTTAGGGGTGCTCAGCTAAACACAAATGCGAGGATCTGGGTCCTCGGCAGGCCTAAGGGCCCCCTGTTGCATACGTGCCCGCCCTAAGTGAAGGCGGGCCTAACAAATCACGAGAGGCCCTCGACTGTCAATTTCGTATTTGGGGGTCCAGACAGTTGCGACGTGCCAGTTGGTTAAAGAAAATACAGGCCGAGCAACAAAGACATTCCACGGCCATCTGGGCCTTTCCAGGAATGCAGGCCCTGGACGAGAATCGCAGCCTCATACACTCACAGTTGTGAGGCCCAACCGAAAGAGGCCCAGTACCTGCAACACAAGCGCAGCATCCTGGGGGCTACCTTAAGCTTCTGGGCCCAGGCCAGTGCAGCCAGGCTGCGAAGGCAGGAGGCTCTTTCCAGATAGGAAAGAGCTCGCCACCGGCAGCCTCATTCAGGCACTCACATGCTAGCGGCAGCGCTCTTGGAGCCGACGCTCATGGGCTGCTGCTGGCGCTGAGAGGCGAGGTGCAAGCGCGTGCGGTCGTGCAGGGAGCAGGGCGCTGCTGAGAGCAGCGCCATAGCCCAGCCTCCATAGCTGGTTGGGCTCGGTTGTACAGTGAGGCGCAGGGGTGGTCTTCAGGCATACAGAGGGAAGACGTGGGAGTAAGAAGAGGGAGAGGGGGAAGGATGATGATAATGATGATGTGAGGGCACATACCTGGTATTGGCGATGGTCTGCTACATGTGACATCTTCAAGTACTTCGTGGGCTGCTGACGTCAACAGTTGCATTGTCAATTAGTAGGCAGACTGTAGCTGTGTGGAAGTAGGCTGGGCGCCGAGCGCCAAGTAAGGAGATAGGGTCTGGACACTCGTGTTGGTGGTGGCGAGAGCAAGCTCTCATTGACATTCGTTTTCAGTGTTGCGATTCTTCATTGGTGTTATATTGGTGCATTGCTGCTTTCTGGACACTGTGATACTATCTGGCCTTCATTGTGATTGTGCATGCTGGACATTGTCATCTCGCTATTGCTCATTTTCCTTGCAATTCGGTATCAGAGCTGGTTCGAACTGCGCTTCATTGGTTCTTCGCGATAGCTGCTCGGTGCTTCGCATGAGTTGTGGGGCAGTGATAAGGCTCAGGCGTTGGACGTAAGGGGGCCCAGGGTCGAGTGGGCGCACCAGGAAGCTATGTGGTGACATTTAGGGTGTATGCTGGATGATGAGAGCTCGCTGATGTGGCATTTAAGCCGAAATGGAACTGCATTCTGCTGTTTGTTGTGTCGAGGCAAAGACCGGTTATCATAAATGCACATCAGGTTCCCTCTGAGAAATCTGTGGTTGGGGGCAGCATTATGAGGTACGTTGCTTCCTTCCTTATCTACCCTCTTCATTGCTTCTTACCGTGAGGAAGTGAGTCTTGTCTTGAGAGTCCTCTCATTGTGAGGTGTCGCGAGCACTCAACCTTGGGAGTCGACATTCTTATCAGGCAGCAAGCTGGCGGGAGACGGGCGATGCCTTTGAAGGGCCCTGGACGAAGCACCCGGGTCACAGTCACCATGCCAACCCGCTGGGACTAGCACACACATGCTTTGTCGCAAGTCCTTGGTTCTGCGCAGTAAAGGTCATGCAGGTCATGCCAGCCCTTTGAACAGATGCTTTCCAGACCGTCTTTAAATATTTCTGGCGGGGACTTGGTGTTGACTCTGGCTGTGATCGTCGTCGTGATTGCAACGTTAAATAATTCCTAAGGACCGTGGGGGCTATCCTAAAATTGCCTCTTGATCAGCCAGATCAAACCGGGTGTAAGGCTCGTTGCATGCAAGGATAAATAAGGTGCAGGGGCTGGCAGGTTTGGTGTAGACTTGGGCCACGGGGGTGGGCTGAATTGCACACCTTTAGACACGCTGCTCAACCAGATGGGGGAGTCGTGGCGCCTATCAAAGAAAAGGCTAGGGGGACCGGGAAGAAGAAGGTAGGCCGGTCTACGGGTCAGGGCGACCAAGGAACACCAGCATGGGTGAAACTTGGTTTATATTACGAGGTATGGAGGGACCGTGTTGCGAGGGGCACATGTATGATTGTGGCAACTATGGCCACACGTCTAGGACTTGCCGAGACAAGAAGGTCACCACGAGGGTAGCCGCTCCAACGGTGGTGGGCTTATCCTCGAACCCTGGCAGTGCTTTTGCGAGCACTTCGCAGGGAAACACCTTGGGCCACTAGGAGTGTTAGCCGGTCTTACTCGCGTTGAAGTGGTAACATTGCCTTCCGCACTTCAGGCATTGGCCAAGGCTAGTGACCAGAACATCGCCCCGCAGACACATTCAGACCCACTGACGCTCTGTTCGAGAGATGTGTCTGAGTTCTTAGAAGAGTTACAGTCTAAGTGGTCAGGAAAGGACCCCAGAGACTCTTGGGCGATGATCAGTAGAGGTCCAAAGGGTGAACCTTTCGTGGTAGAGATTAATGTAGGTGGCCGCAAAGTGGGTGCCTTCACAGACATAGGCTCGACACGGAATTTCATCAGTCGTGCTTGTATGGATAGACTGCATTTAGGGGACCAAGTGCAGAGGCTTAGCAGAACTGTAGCTTCTACGTTAGCCAACAAGCACCAAATGTTAGTCAAAGACTATGTCAAGGACGTAGTCTGTACCTTCTCTTATGGAGCAGGGGAAGTGAGACATAAAATATCATTCCTCGTCAGCGACGAACTACCCTTTGATATGCTGCTAGGCATGTACTACCTCGAGGTTGCTCAACCTCAGTTCGATTGGGATAGGAAGGTGTTGATACACAAGCTGCCAAATGGTAGAACCGTTAGACTGCAAAAGTTTAAAGCTAGTAGTCTAGTGGAAAACTACGGTTGCATGTGTGCCTCCTCTTTCTATAACTACTATAAGCAAAATCGCGAGGAGGGCATGTATCCAGTTTTTGTCTCTGAGAAAGGGGAGGCCGTTAAAACACCCCCGAAGATAGAATCAGTCGTCGCAAAATATTCCAACCTTTTTGAGGAGCCCACAGGCGTGGTAGAAAGGGAGGTGGTCCCATGTAGCAAGGTGCTAGAGGACGAATTTATAGGATGTCTCCTGTAGAGTTTGATGAGCTCCGCCGCCAGCTCAAAGAGCTAAAAAAGAAAGGATGGATTCGGTCCGTCAATCTTATTTGTCCCTAAGAAGGGGGGGGTACCTTAAGGATGTGCATTGACTATAAGGGCCTCAATGCCATCACAGTAAAGAACACAGAGCCCCTACCCCGCATCGACGAGCTATTGGATAGAGTGCAGGGATGTCGGTACTTTACTAAGATAGATCTAAAGTACGGATAACATCAAATTGCTATTGGACCTGAGGACCAACACAAAACCGCTTTTCAGACCAGGTACGGTCTATACGAGTTTGTGGTGATGCCCTTTGGCCTATGCAATGCCCCTGGGACATTTAAGCACGCGATGAACAGGATCTTTCATGAGTACTTGGACAAGTTTATCGTCGTGTACCTCGACGATATTCTCATCTTCAGTAGGACTGCAGAGGAGCACGCTGAGCACTTGAAAATAGTGCTAGGTCTCCTAAGACAGCATCAGTACAAGATCAACTTGGAGAAATGCAAGTTCGGTCGCACCAAGATCTTGTACTTGGGTTATGAAATTTTCGCGGAAAGGTTGAGGCCGGACGATGCCAAAGTGGCCAGCATACGGGACATGCCCAGGCCTCAGACTGTTACTGAGGTCAGATCGTTTTTGGGGACGACGGGCTACTATCGTTCGTTTGTTAAGAACTATAGTACTATAGCTTCCCCATTAACAGATCTAACTCAGCTCGACACCCCTTGGGAGTGGACTGAAGAGTGTGAAGCGACCTTCAAGAAATTGACGTATGTGCTGACGCACTACGAAGTCCCAAAAACTTTTGGATCCTGAACAACCCTTTGTTGTGACCACAGACGCCAACCAATATGGCATAGGCGCGGTTCTTGCGCAAAAGGAGGGGAAGAAGTTGAGACCGATCAAGTACATGAGTAAAAAGATGTCACCTCATAAACTAGCTAAGTCCACTTATGAGCGTGAGCTCTATGCCCTATACAGAGCGCTAATCCATCGGAGACACCATCTCCTTGGTAGATTTTCCTATGTAAGATCTGACCATGAGACCTTGCATTGGATCAAGACACAGCCTGTGCTCTCTGGCGCACTCAAGCGGTGGATTCAAGTGATAGACATGTATGACTATCAACTTGATCCAATCAAGGGAGAGTATAACAAAGTGGCTGATGCGCTGTCACGTAGGGCAGATTATCTGGGCGCGCTAGTCACTGAGTTTGGCATATCTGACAAACTTACTCGATCACTAGTGGAAGCCTATCAAGAAGATCCAGTTTTGTCACAGATCATTCGCAAACTGGAGGCTAAGGATAAAGCTACCTCCGATGAGTTTGTGCTGGTCAATGGATTACTTTTTCTTGATAAGGCAGGGAATAAAAGACTGTGTGTTCCAACTAGAGAGTCTTCCCATGGTTTATTTTTAGGTGAGTGCCATCACGCAACTGGACATTTCGGGTATAAGAAAACTTCAACAAACCTAGTACAAATTTTGGTGGCCTTCTATGATGGAAGATGCAAAAAAGTATGTTGAAACCTGCCAAGTTTGTCAACGTGACAAACCTAGGACATAGGCTCCGGTGGGGCTCATTAAGCCTTTGCCGATTCCTGAAGGTCCTGGTCAAAGTGTATCCATGGACTTCATGGATACCCTTGTGACTAGCAGGTCTAGGAAAAGACATATCTTTGTTATAGTAGACCGTTTTTCCAAGTATTCTAGACTTATCACTATGCCTGAGACTACTAAAACTGAGTACATCATCAGACTATTTATGGATAATTGGGTACGGGACTCCGGTTTACCTAAATCCATCGCCAGTGACCGGGATGTACGTTTTACAAGTGAATTGTGGCAAAGCACAGCCCAGCAGATGGGAACCAGACTGCAAATGACATCAGGGAACCACCCTGAGTCAAATGGTCAAGTGGAGCAGACGAACCGAGTAGTACAACACATTCTTCGGCATTACATCAAGCCAAGTCAGGACGATTGGGACGAGAAGTGACCACTCGTCGCCAGCTTGTACAACAATGCAGTACACAACACTACTGGTAGGACTCCCAACCAACTGCATCTTGGTTGGAAACCCAGATCCGCCCTTGATTATCTACTGCCTGAAAACCAGGCAACTGCAACACTTGGCAGCATAGAGTTCGCTGTCGAATATGAACAGATGCTGCAGCAGGCCATAGAAAATATTAGAAAGTCTCATGATGCCATGATTGCATGCGAGAACAAACATAGACGGCCTTCTAACTTTCAGGTAGGGGATAGAGTCTGGGTCAAGTCATTTGAAATGGGACAGGAAGTAGGTATCGCCAGGAAACTAATGCCACAGTACTTCAAAATATTTTGACGACATCCTATGTCAACTTACTTCAAAATATTTTGTGTTGCTCTCGTCTTTTGTTTGAGTTTTATTTACTTATTTATTTGTTTTCCTTTGCATTTCCACGTTTTCAGATTTTGCAACTTTGACGATCGGTTCTTCATGGCAATACGATAAGCTTTAGGCAATCTATGATAAGAACGTAGTAGCATACGACTCTTGGAGGGCACAGTTACTTATCGGTGGCTCGGTGCTTCACGACATACCGATACTTTGGTTTGGCTGTAGCGAGTATAGTATTTTAGGTGGCTTCAAGTCATTACAAGAAGTGAACGTCCGCCTTCCGATGAACTCTGGACATCTTTGAGAGTTTTGAGGTTTTTGAAAGTGTTTGGAATGTATTTTTTTGCCCTATTGGAGCAGATGCATGGATTACGAGTTGGGGTATACAGGCGTGTGAAGGCTCTAGGCCCGACGGTGGCCAGAAGCGTAGCAAATAGATTTGCAGTTGAATTTTAAGTAGGAGGTAGGAATATGGATGAAAGAGAGGGACTAGGGACATACCAAAGTCCTCGAGATAGTTGGAAGTCCGAGTATTGATCGGCCCGACTGAGGATTACCGATTTCGGATCTTGGAGGTAGACCATACGACATACGGGTGCGTCTTCTTGTTTGGCACGGGGAACTGGTCGGCGTAGCAGATATATGGCACCTCGAAGCATACTTATTATACGCGGGGGCATGACTTTAGCCCTCTCCTTGCGCACACAAACTCTGTTGAGTTCACCCTCCTGATCAGTCCCGAAGGTGGACGAGTGAAACTGGTCAAGGGGATCCACCAGTGCAAGATATGGTGGCAATGATGACAGGGATGTGTATCTTTTGAAACCTGCGTGCGATACCATTTTGCTGTTGTTTCACGAGTGTACTCACCTATGCAAGGAAGATGAGCAATAGCGAACTTCAGCAATCAACAGCATCATACATATGAGTCCAGATAGTCGTGACCTCGAACCAACAGCAGAATTGCATCACGAGATTCACCAAATAAGAACACACCAAGAGTTCATAATTGACAATGCTGAAATAGTCCCATCATCATCATCAACGAAGAACCAGAGTTGATCTCCTATCTGGCGCTCGGCGCCCAGACTACACGTGGCAGATCCTATCTAGCCTATACTACAATGTCGAAGTTGACGACAACAGTTGTCCCGAAGTACGAGCATACAGCGACCAATGTCGCACACTTCCAACACCAGGTATGTCTCTCGCCTTACTCACAACCTCGTTCCCCAACACACAGATGCCACTTGCACCCAAGGACCACCCTGCGCCACACCCAACTTACAGCAGCACAGCTCGGCTATGGCTGCCTGCTCCTTCCCTGCTCGCCCGTGAGCGCGTAGGCGCCAGCCAGCAATTAGCGCAGCAGCGCTTGCGCAGCATGCAGCCAGCACCCCAATGCCGAATGAGGAGGCAGGCCCTTTGCTATATCGAAGTGGCCTGCTTGCGTCCAGTCCCAGGAAGCTTCCAGTAGGCCCCGGTAGCCTGAGGCCCAACACGATCGAGAACAGGCCTGGGGCCTGATGTGGTTGCATGCGCCTAACTGCCTTTGGCATGTGTTTGGCCCAGTACCCGTATCCAGCCCAAGGCCTGCTTTCCATTCATTCACACAGGCGGCCCAAGGCCTGGGTTCTCTCAACCAACTGGCGCTGCGCAACTGCCTGAATTTCCTTAGTTGCGCAGCCGCCGAAATAAGGCCCTGAGGGGCCTCGTCGAGCCTGCCTTCTCTTAGGGCGGCCGACAAGCTCCCAAAAAGGGGCCAAATGGGGCTCATAGAGACAGTGGCCTCGCATTCCCTCCTCCTTAGCTTCAACAGTCCTCTGAGAAGCTCGGTCTTCGACCATCGGGCACTTTCCTTTCTGCAGTGATTTCTCGTAGTGGGTTACCACTTGCGGAGCGGTCTGCATGAGTTCGTCCCTGGTAAACCATCGGTCCTCCTTCGGATCAGTATGATGTCGGAACCGAACGCGGTACTACATATTCGGTTTCGGAGGACGTCCCCTACCTTCTGTTCTTGGAACCGACAGCTCCCGGTGATCAACAATATCATCGATGTCGACCTCTCCGTCCATGGTTGGGGGCAGCATTGAACGACGAGATGGAAAATGATCTGTTTCCTTGAAAGGTGCAAGCTTGGAGGCATGAAAGACAGGGTAAGTGCGGAGATGACCAAGGATCCGGACAACATTAGATGGGCCATCCGGATCAGTCCCAACAATGTCTAGAACTTCCCAAGGCCCAAAGTATTGGGGCATAAGTTCACAGGAGATATAGTACTCTTGTCCTAGTTCTGAAGATTTAACCCAGACTCTATCCCCAACCTGAAACGTAGAAGGGCGGCGGTGTCTATTCTCAGACTCTAATATTGCCGCTTGTGCCTTCTGCATCTGTTCTACTGCCTGCTGCATCTTTTGTTCATACCGATACGCAAATTCTAAGGTACCTGGTGCAACAGTTGACTGATTCTCAGGAAGGAGAAAATCTAATGGTAGTCTAGGCTTGAAAGTCAAAAGCAAACTGTTTGGGCTCACCCTAGTAGCGCTGTGTACAGCATTATTGTACAGACTGGCGATGAGAGCAAGCTTCTCGTCCCAGTCCACCTGGTTGGGCTTGATATAATGCGTCAACAGGTGTTGTACAGCGCGGTTCATTTGTTCTGCCTGGCCGTTGGCCTCTGGGTGATTCTCATAAGTCATTTGCAGCTGAGTACCCTGCTCCGCAGCTGCGGCCTTCCACAACTCACTAGTGAATCGGACATCCCTGTCGCTCACTATTGATTTGGGTAAGCCGAAATCCTTGACCAAATTTTCTTTAAACAACCTGATTACATACTCGGTTTTCGCAGTCTCCGACATTGCTACTAGTCTAGCATACTTACTAAATCTATCCACGATGACGAAGATGTGTCGCATCCCACTCTTGCTGGTGACCAAAGTATCCATAAAATCCATGGATAGACTCTCACCAGGCCGTTCCGGAATCGGAAGGGGCTTCAGAAGCCCAAGAGGAACCTGAGTACGTGGCTTGTCTCTTTGACATACCTGACAAGTCTCCACGTACAGCTGGGCGTCTCGCATGATCGTGGGCCACCAGAACCGCTGCAGCAGATTGGCTGCGGTCTTCTTATACCCAAAATGGCCGGTGGCATCATGGCACTCACCTAAAAACAAACTACGCAAAGACTCCCTATTAGGGACACACAAACGTTTATTCCCTGCCTTCTCAAGGAACAACAAGCCATTGACCAACTCAAACTCGGTTGAAGTCTTCCTGTCCTTCGCCCCAAGTCTGCGTATGATCTCAGACACAAACGTTTATTCCACCAACGATTGAGTAACATTGTCCGTGAGATCGAACTTAGTGATCAGCGCACCTGAGAAATCAGGTCTACGCGACAAGGCATCAGCAACCCAATGTACTCCCCTTTGAGGTACTGAGGGTCAAAGTCATACTGCTCAATGACTTCGATCCAACGCTTGAGAGCATCCGAGAGTAACGGTCAAGTTCTCATCCATCTCAGAATCTGATGATCAGTCCTGAGGATGAAGAACCTCCCAAGGAGATAGTGCCTCGAATGGGTCAGAGCCTTGTAAACCGCATAGAGTTCCTTCTCATAGGTGGACTTAGCCAACTTCTGAGACAGCATTTTCTTGGACATGTACTCTACAGGCCTCAACTTTGGCCCCTCCTGTTGTGCAAGCACGGCGCCAATACCATATTGACTGGCATCTGTGCTGACTATAAACGGCTTATCAGGGTCGGGAAGTTTCAAGACCTCGTAGTGCGTCAACGCATGCTTCAGATGTCTGAAAGCAGCCTCGCACTCGTCTGTCCATTCCCATGGGGTGTCAAGGCGGGTCAAATCAGTCAAAGGAGCGGCCACTATGCTATAGTTCTTAACGAAAGTCCTATAGTAGCCTGTCATTCCTGAGAAAGATCTCATCTCAGTCACAGACTGAGGACGTGGCCAATCACGAATGCTGGCCACATTTGCGTCATCGGGCTTCAACCCTTCCGCGGAGATCTCATGACCCAAGTACAAGACACGGGTGCGGCCAAACTCGCACTTCTCACCGTTGATCTTGAACTTGTGCTGTCGCAGGAGACTGAGGACTTTGTCCAAGTGCGCAACATGCTCCTCGACAGTCTTACTAAAAATAAGTATGTCATCGAGGTACACGATCACAAACTTATCAAGGTAGTCATGGAATATCCGATTCATAGCGTGCTAAAAGGTGCCTGGAGCATTGCAAAGGCCGAAAGGCATCACCACAAACTCTTACAGACTGTACCTGGTCCGAAAGGCGGTTTTGTGTTGATCCCCGAGCCGGATTGCAATCTGATGGTACCCGGACTTCAGATCTATCTTACTGAAGTACCGACACCCTTGCACTCTATCTAACAAATCATCTATGCGCGGTAGGGGCTCTCTGTTCTTGACAGTGATGGCATTGAGGCCCCTATAGTCAATGCACATCCTAAGTGTACCCTCCTTCTTCTTAGGTACGAATAGTACTGGAGATCCATAAGGAGAGACACTCGACCGGATCCACCCCTTCTCTACGAGTTCCTTGAGTTGTCGGCGAAGCTCATAGAGCTCGCCTGGAGACATCCGATAGATCCTACCCTTCGGGATACTAGACCCTGGGATAATCTCTATCGCGTGGACGACCTCCCTCTCTACAACCCCTGTCGGCTCTTCAAATAGATCAGGGTACTTGGCAACTACTCCCTCTATCTCCGATGGCATTTTCACCAGTTCGCCTGCAGCAGAGACATAAACTAAGTACATACCCTCCTCTTGATTTTGCTTATAATAGTTATAGAACGCGGCTTTAAACTTGTGCAATCTGGCGGTCCCTCCACCTGGCAAAGTGTGTTTGACCACTTTTCGGTCCCAGTCAAACTAGGGTTGTGCCACAGAGAGCTAGTACATACCTAACAACATGTCCATGGGGAGTTCGTCACTCACTAGGAACGAGACGCGATGTCTCAATTCCCGTCCCGCGTACGGGTAACAACACTCCACATCTTGGAGGTAGTCATTGACTACCATACGCTTTGTTGGCACAAGTCAACTCCACAGGTCGACTCAGGCACTGCACTTGCCCCTGTAAGTGCAGCCTCTCAACGCACGCGCGAATGACAAAGTTTCTAGTCGAGCAAGTGTCATAATAGGCCCCGGCCTTGCGGCCGCCAATGACAACCTCGATGACGAACATCTCACCCTTTGGGGCTTTGACTAGTGTCGTCCAAGAAGCTAGCGGGTCTGATCTAGACCACTCCTCCTCTAGCTCCTCTAAGGACTCAAACACATTCATCGAACAAAGGCTCGATGGGTCTTAACGTGTTTGCGGGACAACGCTGGAGTCAGTAACTTGGGCCATCTCTTGAGATGGTGAGGGTGTCTCCACCACCTCAACCCAAGTAGGAACTACTTTTCCTACTGGCCCGACGTGCTTCCTGGAGCAGTACCTGAAGTGCTGGCTACATTGCTACCAACAGGATGGGAGGATCCTACCGCCTGCCCCATCGTAGGCGGGATCTTGTCGATCACCTTCTTGTTACGACACTTGAACTGATTATGGCCATATTGACCACAACGAATGCAAGCTAGTCGCGTGTACCGATCTCTCCACACGTCCTATGTGAGACCCGCCTTCTCCCATGGGGGAGCGTTGGGGTCAACTTGACTCCTTGACCGGGAGCCTCCACGGCGTCTACCGGTCGCCTTACCTTTCTGAGTTACAGCAACGACAACTCCACCCCCTGAAGCTTCAACGTTGCCTGCCTCTGAACCTACTCCTTCCTGGAAGTTGTCGTCTAATTCGATGGTTGAACCATTGTTATCGACGAACATTATGCGACCCTTCGCCTTCCAGTTAGGAGGCAGTGTCTTCCTCCTTCCGTCTGTAGTGGGTGCCTGTCCATGCCCTATCTTCGCCTCAAGGTCTAGGGCCTTCTTGCTAAACGAAGGCAAGTTGTCCATATTGATGTTGGCCTCACCTGCCAACTGGTTCCTGAGAGGCAAGGAAAAGCATCTCAGGTAGGAGGTGAGTAAAACCTGGGGTTCATAGCGCACCCCTGGGACACAGATTAGATGCTCAACAGCGTCGGTGGCTTCCCTTACTGACTTGAACTGCCGCGTGTGCAGTGTCAGGATAGCGTCAGTGGCCCTTTAAGCCTCCTGAGGATCATGCCACCTGTCCTCCACCAGCTTAAGGAAGTCATCCAATTTCTAGGTGACTGCCCAAGCGCGGAAGTCATGACCATACCCCTGGAGCTGTACTAAACCACTCAACCATCTTGTTGCACGACCCTCTAGGTAGGAGGCAGCCACAATCACTTCTTCATGCGGCAAGGTAAGTTTACACCTAACATAGACTGGCACTGCCCTCAACCACGTGTCGAGGTCTTCGCCCCTCTTATCCCCTGTGAAGGGTTTAGGAGCGGCGATGGCCGTCTTTGGCACCCACTGTGTCTGTCCTGGTCCCTGCATCACTCCAGGCTGTGGACCCTGTGACACAGGTTACTGTGCTAGCTGCTGGGGCTGTATACCCTGCGGCTGCACAGACTGCAAGACAACAGGCTGCGTGGTAACCACAACCTGCAACGGAGATTGGGTGTACACTGTCTGTACAGGAACCTGCAAACTAGAACCTGTTGATACCCCTCCTGATAGCGGCATACCCAGGGAAATGATCGCGACCGATGATGGGGCTACATATTGGGATACCCCAGTCACCGGTGGGACAAAAGGAGGAGGGTGTACAACGGGCCAGGCACCAGGCCCGGACATTGGCGATGTGGTCTACGCTTGGCCAACCAATAGGGCCAGACTTTGCTGGATATCCTAAAGGATGGTTGTCTGATGGTCCTGCATCTCAACTACATTTAGCAGGACGGACCGTACGATCCTCACCTCATCAGTCACGTGCGTCAGGTCCATCTCCTCTGACTCACTAACGTCCACTTGTCTCCGTTGCATCCTGGCTCTTCTTCTAATCATTCTTTCTTTCTCCGCTTTTATATCTCCTAACGCCTTCTGTAGTTATGCCTCCTACAAAGCTGCTTGTTGTATGGCGATCTCGTCGGAGGTCAACACTATAGGCTGGCTTGCCATTATGCCAGCGGACTGACTCTGGGTCTGCGCGACCGTTGACCCGACAGACCTTGAACTACCGGCCTGAGTAGTCTGCTGCGCAGAAGTGGCCATGGCTTCCGAAGTTGCGGCCTCACTCACAAGTGCCCTGCTAGTCTCTGCTGCTCTAGCCCTCCTGTGCTGCTGCTGCCTCGCCCTAAGCTGGCGGAACAAATATTTGTCGCCCTCTGGTCCTAATGCTAAGTGGGCAATTGGGCGTCTAACCGATCGCAAGATCCTCCGGTCGTCCTCTCCAGTGTCCTCCTCGTCGCTCATAAGCTACAGCCCTGTACACAATCTGCACTAGTGCACTCTAAATGCCTACCGCAACGTAGTGCACAGACCAATTAACTGGTGGCTATTCCGGAAACTTTACATTCGAGCCCAACAGGTAAGTCAGATTCTTACAAATAAAACTATTTTTAGTTTGACTAGTCCGCAAACAGAAGCACCATGAACAAGAAACAGTTCTAACTAATGTTGTCTGTGAGATGTCAATGACTGTACACCTAACTAATCAAAACATAAAAATAGAATCATTTTATGGATAGGACAGTATGGAATTTTTCTCGAACTTATCACCTGAAATCTACCCCTCTCTTAGTTCCCCTGAGTATCACTTGACGTCAGCGTCCCTGAGCAATCTGGGGAGCATCGCGTGTCTAAAGGTGTGTGTCCGGCCCACCCCTGTGCCCCGAGTATCTGCTGAGCTGGCCAGCCCTGCACTAGATTATCCTAACGAGCCTTACAACCATTGGCTGATCCAGAGGCAATTTAATATTCGCCCCCAAGTGACTCCAGGAATTATTTTACGTCGCAGTCGGACGACGATCACAGCCAATGGTTCCTCTTCCTGTGCTTATTTAAAGACGCCCGGTCTCGTCTCCCTTAAGGGCTAGCCTGCCCTTCAGTACCCATCTAACAACGCAGCAAGCCAAACAAAGGACAAGCAGCAAAGCATGCGTGCTCTACTCCCGGTGGGTTGGCATGGTGACCGTGACCCAGTGCTTCGTCCAGGGCCCTTCCATCTTCTCCAGATGCTCCACGTGAACATTGCCGACTCTCAAGGTTGAGCGCACTCGACACCTCACAATGAGAGGACTCTCAAAAAGGAACACACAACCTCACGGTAAGAAGTGTCGAAGAGGGTAGATAAGGTTAAGAGCAATGTTGTCGAGCGCATCGGTCCAGCACCGCACAAGGGCAGCGCGGGACCCTCCGGGCCGCGTCACGCAGGAGTTGGAATTAATCCTCGTCGCAAATACACATGGAGCTTCCGCAAGCCGCTCCGGCCGAGTGCGCCAGCCATACCTCTCGCGAGCCCCTACGACAGGATAAGGCCTACGCGAGGCACGACTTACCTCCACCTTACGGGAGCTGTCCCCTCCCTTCGGTGGGCGTATCCCCGCCGAGCTACCAGTCCACAGTACGAAAGCTAATCAGCTGCAATCGCAGAGGTGGANAGCCCCTACGACAGGATAAGGCCTACGCGAGGCACGACTTACCTCCACCTTACGGGAGCTGTCACCTCCCTTCGGTGGGCGTATCCCCGCCGAGCTACCAGTCCACAGTACGAAAGCTAATCAGCTGCAATCGCAGAGGTGGACCAGCCGAGGGCGTTTCTCGTTCGCTGTAGCATAGGGGGTATGCGCGGTAATACGCCTCTATCGAACCCGCGCGCGAACCGACATCTTGGGGGGATGAGGTCCCAAGTGTGACTCGTCGTCGGTCGACTAGGACGCATCCCACACACCACGCGCACACCACTCTACGAACACAAAAATAAAACACACGCACACATACGCACAAAACGACGCAACGCAAACACGCCACAACGCTCCTAGTCCCTCAGTAGCCATCCCATAACTTTCCGACGTTGAAATCGGATAAGCGTCGTGCGCGAGAATTTGTATAAGACCGCGCAGGACGCAGGGCCTACTCATATCGATTCATAACGCAAGCGTACGCAAGCAGTCGTAAATATGGCATACTATAAAGTGCCCATAATCAAGCGTCCCCCGTGGATCCGAGTACCGCTTATGACACTCAAGTGTCAGACTCGAAGTGTCGCGAGGGTCTAATCCCTCACGACATTGCACGGCTGAAGGAATAGTCGTGCAGCCGTCGCGAGACCTCCGGCCCTTGGTTTGAGCGTCTCAGTAGGCAAGGCAAATAGGCTCTGCACGGGGGCAGATTCCTTCCTTGTAGAGTCTAGGGCTTGGGATGTCCTGGACAAGGACCTTGAATCCCGGCCCAGGACCAACGTCCGACTATAAAAATCTTCTAAACAGCAAAAGGATAAAAAGGGATCTCCCTTTTCTTTCAAGCCCTAATCTGGTTAACCCTTGCGCACTATCACTGTAAGTCGCGCGCATACCCAAGGTACATATAAATATATACATAAGGCTTGATTATATAGGGTGATCACTTCTCATAGTCACAGTGGGACTCCTCTCAGCCATGTATATATGTAATCGCAGGCAGCCACATCCAGAATCCGAACCACAACCATACCTGCAATCACATCAAAGATCCAAACAAAGTCCACGCACTACACGGGGCCAACTTCAACTTTTCCTTGCACTCATACCCCTCGCTTTAGCCATACAAACCTCACTCGTGCAACTCTTAAATAAATACTCAGTACTTTTGTTGGATGACCATTCAATAAAGTCCGGGTGAGAACACAACAAAACAGTTCAAATCACAAGGCTAAAGCCTTTAGGTTGAGTGGCAGGAGTGGATTGGAGTTAAATCGCAAACCGACGAATCGGCAACCGCCCTGTTATCAGTGATAGCAGAAGATGATCCTCGTAGGATCAAGCTCAAACTAGTCCAAATCTTGA